CTGCTTTTACTTTATCGCTAGCCAATTGAGTTAGCCATTAGTGACCGTGCGCAAGGTTGAATGTCGAGCTTTTATACCGTACTTATCTGTGTGTATGTGCGTCTGTAACTGTTGCGGCTCGGTGTGCTTTCACGTAATGAGTGCGATCTAGCCATTCCTCACAATAGGTCGATTTGTGTAATAGGTGTGAATCTTTATTTAGGTCACGCATTACGAGTACTTAAATAGTAAAAGACGTGCAGCTAAAGCACGGATGAGGTTAGCTCTAAGGTCGTACGAAACCAAAAAAACTTACAAACGTTAAAGCGATAAAGCATGGCTGTACAAGGCTCAGAAGTTGCTGCATATTTTACACTACAGATTTATCGTTTCTACTTCCACAATTTGTACAGCTCGCACGTTATCCATCCTCCTCAGCTAGGATGGATAAAAGGTATTTTTGTAATTAATCAGTAGTCTCTAAAATTGCTAAGGAGTAAACGTCGAAGTATAAATAGGGAGCGCCTCAAAAGTTTGCGTATCAGACGTGCCTCCTCATCGAGTGATGCTGCTTTATTTGCTCTTCAAGAATAGGCAGCAGTAGGCAAGATGACTTAAACTAATTATTATTTTCCACTTTCATTTATACCCTGTATTTGTATGCGCATCTACTGTCTGGTTGAATTGCGGTTTTACACTGCAAAATTGGTTTTTTACAAATAAACGATTGTAATCTTTAACGTGTCAGAAGTGAACTTAAAAGATTAAATCAATAATGAAAGATGTTTAAGGGTTACGAAGAACAAGAACTTGACTTATCCAATTAACCTCAAAAATTGTAGCTATTAAAGCCATGCGTTGCAGCAAAACAGAATCTTAAAGTCGAGCTCGTCATTCTCACGACAACAAAGGTATGTGGTGACCAATGCATAAATTTGCAAATGATTCTTTTTCATTGTCTAAGCATTGAACCATTTCCTTGACATTATAAAGCAACCATCGCAAGCCGTGAAACTGATAGAGAAGCCGAATCACATGCTAAGTGCACCTACACTTCACTTGGTTGCAACCATATAATGTTTGCATGGATATCCTCGTTGTTCAAGTATCCGGTGTTGTACTGCAAACAATTTTTAAACTCTTCGCCGATACAATAGGACCTAACTGATTGATAATGATGGGACCTCTTTTTCTGACAATTTTGATGAGATGTTAACTAAGAACACGTTAAAGACTTCCTCCAAATTACCATTTATTTTCTCTTTTTTAGAAGGCTGTTTGAATGAAAGTAAGACCAATTTTAAAAAAGGTTTTCTGTAGCTCAGCCGGTTTGGAATGGTAGTGCCAACGCAAACGTCACTGGCTTAATAACGGTGAGGAAAATAGACGAGAAAGTCAATCCTTTGGACCTGGTGCTGGCTTCATTAGCACTGTTCTTTCAGGCAGTGACCCCCCTCCCCCCACTTTAGGCACGTTTAAAGGTTGTGAAGCTCTTGACCAGAATCAGACACGTACGACTAGACGAATAAGTAAAATGCGACTAGACGACTCGTAAGGCGCGATGTGCGATTACTAACGTATCGTCCAAATTTTTTTAGCAGGCTTTAAGTCAAAACAGGTTTTTGTGAATTTAGGACTTTAACATAATCATATCGCATTTTCATTCCAGTTTTCAGCCTAAGCCTTCAGGCCTTCCTCCCAATTGATCTTAAAAAACCAGCAGTACATCAACAATGCCTCTGAAAGGAGCAAACCACACTACAGTGATGGACGATGCCCGTGTGGCTTTCTGCAAACATCGTGCGAAGAATCTGGCACTGACTCAGTCTCAGCTTTTTAACTGGCTACTGGGCAAACACCAGCTATAGGTCAGCCAGGTACCAGTCTTTAACACGCTGAAGAGGAAGACCGACCTTCTTCGTCTTCTAAAGGAAATCGACATGAGTTTAAAACGTCAGCGTTAAGTAAAGTATCCGCTAATTAAATTTGCTCTGCTAGCTTGGTTTACTGCCCACCAGGATCTCACAAATATTAGCGGAGACCTTGTCAGTGAACGTGCCCAGCGATTTCTGGGTCGTCTTAATCCAAGACACTATCCATTTCAGTTAATAAATGGATGTATGAAATTTTAGAAAGCGCGCAACGTAATACGCTCATTTCGACGCTTCGGAGAGAGCGAATAGGTGGACGTGGTTGCTGTAGAGGATAAACTTCCTCCCCTTCGCGAATTTCTCAAGCAGTAGAAATAAAAGGACATCTGCACCTCGGATGAGGCTGGATTGTTCTATCGGGTGCAGGTTAGCGCTCTACTAAGAACATATAATTCTATTGTCTTGTGCAGAATAACGCATCACTTATTTTTAATGATGACATTTCATTAACAATGCGGCAGCAGGATTGGAGAAGGCAAATAAGGAGCAAATTACTGTGGATGTCTGCTGGAACGTTGATGAGTCCTACAAAATGCCCCTGTGGATCATTGGCAAGTACTTCACTCCTCGCTGCTTCCGTCATGTATATATGAAAACCTCGGCTGTTATTAGCGCAGCAACCGAAGTAACTGAATGAAACAATTACTTTTCTTTAAGGGGCTGAAGGACTTCGATCGAAGGATGGCAAACCTCAAGGTGCTACTGATGCTGGACAACTGCAGCACACACGTCCTGCTTACTGATCTGTCCCAGCGGATCACACTTCGCAGCACGACAATCAAATGTCTTCCGCCCAAAATGGCTTATCGAAAAGATGTGGAAACATTAGATTATCATCTTCAAGTCCCAAGCCGATGGACATCCGCAACCTGCTCAATAATCCTGCTAAGCGATTTACATCGCATATTTCGGACGTGGATGACATCATTGAAGAACACCTTCTGAATCAGTCTAAAGATGAATAGGATGACAGCCGGAACAGCCTAAAAACGCTGTCGAGGGAGCTCAGAAGGCGTATGAGTTGCTTGAGACATTCTGGCTGCAACAGGATGGTAATGCGCATACTTTTGTCAAGTCACTACAGCGAATGAAGAACGAAGTAGGGGCGATCCGCAAAAATAAAAAGGTTCAGCCTGACATACGAGACTTCTATAGACGTGTCATGTAGTACTTTACATCATTTTACAGTACCAACACTATTTCTAAATAAAATTACGAAACAAATTAGTAATGGGAACTTTAATTTTATTCAAATTACAGAGGTTTAAATAGATGACTGGTCTCAACCTTTTCGGGCGTTTTCACTTGTAGGGCTATCATTTATTCAGATAAAAGTATTTGAGACAGGCTCTACTTTATAATGAAACAGTCTTGCACAGATGCTTCTATCGATACGAGGCTTGATGTAACGGGGCACCCCTTGTTTGGGGTGCCACGAAACTTCACGTACACTAGTACGTGCAGAGGAAGTCAAACTACTTGAACGACTCGGTCAAGTAAAGGTTAACAAAAACCTGTATTTAATACAGTTAAGCTATCAATTTAACTTTGATCGTTATCTAACTATACTAAACTACGTCGATGTATGACGACAACCTGCTCACCACTCTTTGCGCGCGTCTAGCAGCGATTAAAAGAAATCTATGGTTGATATGTCTTATATCAAGCAATCTTGGAGCAGCGCATGAATATAATCCAAAAGGGGATAATGTTCCTTAAATATTAACCCATTCCGGATAATATTGGTAGAATTTACAGTCATGCTAGACAATCAACATTTGACACGGTTTGGTGATAAAATCGTGTAACGGGCTACCTTGTTACATCACTCCCCTTTAACCATCAATCACCCGTTAATTATATTAGAATTGATTGACTCAGGGTCAGCACCATTGGATCACTCTGGGAATGGGAGCACTTGTTGGTCAAATCCCATTCATTTGCCAATCCAACGCATGGTTTCAAAAACCATGCTAGCTGCTACTGCAGCAGCAAGAAGGGCGGCTGCACGCGTGCGTGCGGCCGCAAAAATTGCCTCTCACGCCTTAGCAGCAGGTGATTCGCCGCCGGTTGTCGTGAATCCTCCATGTGGTGAGTCACCACGTGCCACAGGTACATCCGTTGCGTCTGCAGCGGGTAACTCGGGTCGTCATCAATATGAGTCTGAAATAGAGATCATATATTCTGGCGAGTCGGATAATGCATCTGACCCGAAGGCGTCTCCTCACGCCCCGGGATCACCCGGGGCGGACACTGCAAGAGTTAGGCTGACTGGCCCTGGTCAACGGGGAGGTATCGTTTCCTAGATCTTCAGATCAAGCGATTATTCCGACGAATCATCCCCTCACGCAAGTTTATTCAACGATAGGACGCGTGGGGATGGTGATGATGCACCTATACACCACCACGAGCGAAGTAATTTGAGGGATCGGGTTTTCACTTGTGTTAGTGCTCATGCTGGCACCAGTCAAGAGGCCTGGGATCGAAATGTCCTGCTATACGCTCCCCAAGTGAAGTCTCTGTGGATGCCGTCATCCAGAGAGTTGGACCGGTTGGCCGTCATGACTACCGATCGGGATCTAATCCCGTTATTCGATTGCGGCTAGAGATTTGCCCACCTGATTCCAGCACGGATTACTCTCTGTCATGAGGAAGAATCTTCACCGATGTGTTTTTCAAAAATTGGTGGTACAATGGCAGCCGTGTTCGAGACAGCAAAGCCTTGTTGCAAGGATGAAATGCCCTCATCCACAACATCGAGTTCATTGGCCGTGAGGTCTGGCTCGGTAAACTTGATGCAGCTTTTATCAGGTCTGAGAAACGTAACTCCGTTGGGGCGCGATACAAGTTGGACCGGCTTTCGAGAGAGCAGGAGTTCTTTCTCTATCGTTGGGTGATCCGTGTCCAGGTTGCCTGGACAATTCGAACCGTGCCCCTAGGGAAGCCTACCTCTCTTATGATCCCTACTGGAGGGCGCGCATCTCTTCCAAGATGGCCGAAGGGATTCACACCTTGCAATTTCTGTACTCGCGCTCGGGGAGGTAGTTTCCGACGGTCCTTCTTTAAACGCAGCGGGTGGGTCTTGTCGTAATGCTCGACGAGACCAAGAACATCAACAATCAGCTGGGCACGAAGCTCCCAGCTGTCCCACGCCGGCAGATAGCCACGCCAGCGGACGAGGTAGCTCGTCCGACTGCCATTCACGTCGCGGTGGTTCAAAAGACGTCCACTAGGAAGCGTTGACTACCGCTTGAGTCCACCAAAGTATGTGGTGGCGGAGGGAACACCTGGTACGTCTCACGGGTCGGAACAAGTTGATGTTCAAGAGCTGAACCGTCTAGTGGAACAGTTGCAATATCACCTGGCTCATGAACGATCTCGGCGTTATGGGCTTGAGGATCTTGTGAGGGATAAGTACAATTCCTTCGCGCCTGGTAGCTCAAAAGATTGTGCCGCGTTTGCGTTTGCCCAACTTGAGAACGAAAGTTCGACTCGTCCTCTTCGTGACGAGCTGGCAGCAGCTCGTTGAGACATCGCTGAGCTGCGTGGACAGGTATCTTTGCTAGTCGACCGGACTGGCTCGTTGGAACGGGACAACTCGAAGGTGGTCTCGGCTCTCGACCGCGGAGGTCTTCTTCGCATCTCGAAAGGGCTCATACTGATAGCATGGGCGGAGACGACCGACGTAAAACGTAGGATGCGTGCACATCTTACGGGAAATTTAATCGTGTATGCGTAGCCCATTCGGCGCAACACACGAAATGAACCGATGTACTTGGGCAGTAATTTACTGCTGCCCACGTTTGTCACTGCGTGTTTCGTTAAGTTTACTGAAGACAGTAAAACTATGTCTCCTTCATCAAATGAAAGAACATTTGCTCTTCCATGTTTGTCTGCGTTTCTTTTCTGTCCGTATAGTGCATCTGCAGAAGAGTCTTGAACGAAGCGGACAAATCCGCTTCGAGAGTCAGCAGAATTATTTTTGTCGATTCATCCTTGTCAACAGCAGTGGGCTTCGTGTGCACTGCTGAAAGAACGTTGTCTTCACCAGTGAGGGTATCATCGTCCTCACTTTGGCAGGCATTGGCGATGCTGAATACCAGCATCGTCGTCATCATCGTCATCGATGTCCATCGCATCGACATCGGCATCCGTCACGTCGACACCATTGTCGACGGATGAGGAGCTAGAACTGGATCGGTTTTTTAAGCGAGTCCACCCCCCACTTAAACTAGAGTCACAATCTAAGATGACGGTTAAACGTGGATGGCGTAGGCCATTCATGAAAAACGGTGTATGCGTTGTAGACGTGTGCACCGAGTTGTTGATGGCGAATTCCCCCATCAGCAAGAACTCACACCAACTCGTAAACGAGTGGACATGCCGTTTAAGTGCTTCTTCGGGATCGCTGTTGACGCGTCTCGTCTGACCATTTGTTTTGGGATGGTCAGAATTTGACATCGTCAAACGTGCTCCAAGTGAACGGAACACACTTTGCCAGAACTCCGCTGTGAAGCGGGGATACCTAGCATACACGAGTTCACGGGGTAAATTCTGATATCGGGAGTTAGTATCGATGAACATGCGCATAGCCCCGGGCTGTGATTGACTCCGGTACAGCAACAAGGTGTACCATCTTGCTGAATCGATAAACAAACACAAGAATACCAGAATTCTTGTGGACGTTTTTGGGAAACCCGAAGACGAAGTCCATCGATGCGGACTGCCAACACTCTGCCGATATCGTAAGAGGCTACAAGGGTGCGCGAAATAAAGGACTAGGCTTCACCCGTTAACAAACTTCGCAAGCACGTATGCATTTCCGCACAAACTCATACTAGCGGGGCCAGTAGAAGTCACGACTCACCGTGAGGTAAGTCTTTTCTCTACCGCGATGTCCACTTGTCGGGGCATCGTGACGCTCATACATGATGCGCAATCGCAAACCATTATGAGCCGGAACGACGACACGAGGTGTGTCGTCGCTGATTACTGTATGGTACAGTAGTCCATCACGAACGGAACACCGTTCGGTTGGAGAGCGGTATTGAGACGACAACCTTTTCAAAGCTTGATTACAAGGATCGGTTGCGTAATCTATCAACCACAGAAGAGACTCATCTTCTGTGTATGCTTTTCGCGCGTGACCGAGCAGATTCGACGACGGAACACTCACTGCTAGTGTTGCTATAGTGGGATCACCCCTACTGTTGGGTTCAGCTTTCGACTCCGAATCGGGCCGACGAGAAAGAGCACCGGCGACGACATTAAGTCGTCCTGGTTTTAACTTGGCGAAGAAGTTGTACTCCGCGAAAAAAGACAGCCACCTCGCCATTCGTTAAGAGAGGTGTGGACTGTTTACGGCCGTGTGTAACGACGCATGGTCGGTATACACGATGAAGGGTCTATGTCTCGAAGAGATTTACCCGAAACTTAGCCAGTGCATATTTCATGGCAAGGCGTTCCTTGTCACGCACCGGGTAATTACGCTCAGCTGCTTGTAGATGACGCGATTTATAAGAAACGAAGAGCTCAACGCCGTCTGAGTCGTACGGCATTAACGCGCAGCCGATGGAAAAATTGCTGGCGTCACAGACCACATGAAATGGCCTATCCTGGTCTGCGATCGCCAAAACAGGCGATTGCACCAAGCTTTTCTTGATGCCTTCAAAGATTGCTGACACTCAGCGCTCCATGACCACCTCTCGTTCTTCTTTAGCAGACGAGAGAGATGTACGGTCATCTCGGCATAGTTGCGCGAGTATTTGAGCAAGTATGCCGCCAAGCCAAGGAAATTTTGAAGTCCCTTGACGTTGACTATCACAGGCCAGTCGCTGATCGCCTTGATCTTTTCCGGACCAGGGCGTACACCGTTTTTACCTACAGTGTAACCAAGAAGTGTTAATTCGTTCGCTGCAAATACACACTTCTTGAGGTTCGCGAACAGCTAATGCTCTCGCATTAGAGTGAGAACCTTACGGACGTGGATTCTATATACCTCCACGTACGTCTTTACATCCGTAGCCCGGCTATGGACGAAAATAGTGTCGTAGTAACTCGCTGCGAATTCGCGCACCGATCGCAACAGATTTGTAGCATATCTGTTAAACGTTGTGGGGGCGTTGCTTAGCCCCTGCGGCATCACTAGCCACTCCCAGAGCATACCACTGGGAGTGATCACCGCTGCGTAAGGAATATTTCGTTCACGCATGAGGATCTGATAGAATCCTTTATCACATCCATGGTCGAAAAGATGGTACTTTTTGCCATACCATCAATGATGACGTCCTTTCTTGGGATCGGCGTTGGAGCCGATACCGTTGCAGCGTTCAATTTGTTGAGCGCGTGCACTATCCGCCACCATCCTGGGGCCTTTCGCACAGAAGGTCGGATAGCTGTGTGGGGATGTTGATTCCCTCACATGACCAGCCGCTAAACGATCGGCAAAGAATCTGTCGATCGCTGTGAACTGTTCACGAGGCAGTGGCCACTGCTTCATGACACAGCACTTCGAACCGGGTTTCACTTCGATCTCATGCCGAGTGCCTTTTACTTAGGCATCTCGCATGGCACGGATCCCGGGAAAACATCCCTAAATCCCACCATATCCATATGCAAGGGATGTGTTTTCAAAGAATTCCAAGATTGAGACGTGTATCGCTCAATCCGGGTCTTCTCATTGAGAACACTCTCGTCCATCGATGAACTACTAAGAACCCGTTTGTTCTCAGCAAACACTTGTGCCGACCGAATATCGGCGATGTACTCGTCTTCTGTGACAAGTACGCAGATCTGCTTGAACTTGTCACTACGCAGATCTCGCAAGAATCTTTTGGATTCTAGCGTTGGAAACTTGACCACCTCCGAAGCTGACTTCGAAGGCGTCACCAGATCAAGTGTGTAAGCGCCTACACTTGATCCGTTATTTACCAAGACATTCACTGACTCGGTGATTTCCTGGGAAAACACATCCGCAGGTGGTTGGGTATCCACACCCTCAACATAACTTTCTCGGGAGTTATCACTCTCAGGAACGCCGGAATTTTCTTCCATTTCGTGTACTATCACGGTCACGTCCTCTGCGATCGACTCTCGGATAGTCGATCTCGCTTCAACGTTTTGTCCATCCTAAACAACACTAGTCTCTCTTCTCGAATGGACTCTTCTCGGTGTGCATCCGTGTTCCAGTCCACTCGATCTCTTCGAGTGGTGAGCCTTCGGCGCAGCCTTTGTCTCTACACAGGTGCCGGAAGCTGGTTCCACAGTGCAGTGGCCTTCTACACTGTGATCTTGTGCAGTCATACTACAGACTGTACCTCAAGTGAGGCCATCGCACTAACTCGTAGTACATCCACACGCTTGTGGACGCTTTAAGATGTTCATTAGATGTCCATCTGATGAATGAACGGCAGGCATCTTAACGGATCGATGCTGCCAGCTAATCCATGGCCGGTACTTTTTAAGCCTTGACAACCAAGGATGACATCAAATTTGTCATCCAAATTTAATACGATGAAGTCATCATCGTAGTACTTCTCTTCTAGCGTGTAGTGGATTCCCACTACACGTTTGCTCACTGTTACGAATGCGCCTGTAGCAAGGCACACCGTCATCCTCTTTTGAGGGAACAATCGCTCAACATAGTTGAGCCTACTATCCCCTAGCGACTGACGTCAAATTAAACTATTCGACGCCTCACAGTCAACTAGGGCGCGAAGTGACACACCACTTGTCACTTTGATCTTCAAAGTAATGAGAGACTCCTCATCACTAAAGGCATTAATACACAGAGACTACGTGTTGGGAGCAATCTTCATCAAGAGTCCTGAAATTCTCTTGACGTTTCTGGATCAGCAGGGAGCTCCACCCCTACTGACCCTGTCCATTTTTTGACGGTCCGACTTGCTGTCGCGGCTTGGCGACATGGTCGGACCCACGCCTCGGACCCTTTCTTGGCCAACGGCGGTCACCACGTCCTGTATTCGGACGTGTCGCAGTGCTCGGGGCACTACACTCATGAGCGGAGTGTCCAATCTCTGACAGCGATGGTATCTAGCCGTTCGCTTGTGACTCAGAGAGCGAGAGTTCTCGCTCTCGATGTAACAGAGGTCCAATGGCTTGGGATTTCCTGTTTTCTGTCGTCTCGTCGGACAATAGTTGGACGAGTTGGCCTGAGAATGTCTCAGGCTGAAGTCTTCTTGTTTTGCATACGCTATCGCCCTTTCCAGCGTATGGAAGTCCTCTCGAAACATGTAGGTCTTCACCGGCCCATCCACAAGGCCGTAGTTGAACACGTTGATTAGCGTGTGCTCATCAACAGGGTTCTTCGTAACGCTACTTGCAAGGTAGCGCAGGTGCTGTGCGGAAGCGTGCACGTCACGCTTACCTTGCTTTAGCCTCAAGAGTGCAGAGCGTGCTCTGAACTCAGCTCTCGGCGGCTTAAACGTTTCTTTAAGCCGAGACTTCAAGATCTCAAACGACTTAAACACGTTTGGGTCGTGAAGCTTGAGCCCTAAGGCCCAAGTTTTGCTCGTCCCGTCAAATTTGACATGGCGAAGGTGACTTTCATCCCGTCACCCTCGATGTTACGGGCCCTGATGGCGTCGTCTAACTCGACGAACCATCTCAAAAGGGAATCTTCATCGGTTTCCTTGTACCTTGAGATATCTTTGTTCAAAGTTTTCGCGTCGACACATGTGCGTCGGCCCACCCATCGACTTATGAGAGCCTTGCTGCTGTAGCAAGGCTATCTTCTGTCGTTCGACGGCAAGTTCCCTTGTCGGAACTTGTTGATAGCAGCATGTTGCTGGTCTCTGCTTAAAAACTCCAACGCAGCACTGATGGCGGGTTCACCCATGAGCCAACTCATGCGGCCGACAACCTCCCATTCTGAGTTACTCAGAATGGGAGGTAGTCGGCCGCATGAGTGTGCTCAGATGGGAGTAGCATTCACGTGTGACGTGAAAGCTGTCGTCTTCTACGTCCAACATGTTCAAATTGTATGGAAACTAAGTAGTCGTTGGACGGACTACGAAGTGCTACCAGGTGTAACGGGGCACGCTTTGTTTGGGGTGCCACGAAACTTCACGTACACTAGTACGTGCAGAGGAAGTCAAACTACTTGAACGAATCGGTCAAGTAAAGGTTAATAAAAACCTGTATTTAATACAGTTAAGCTATCAATTTAACTTTGATCGTTATCTAACTATACTAAACTACGTCGATGTATGACGACAACCTGCTCACTACTCTTTGCGCGCGTCTAGCAGCGATTAAAAGAAATCTATGGTTGATATGTCTTATATCAAGCAATCTTGGAGCAGTGCATGAATGTTATCAAAGGGGAAAATGTTCCTTCAATATTATTTATCCCGGATAATATTGGTAGAATTTTGTCATGCTAGACAATCAACATTTGACACCGTTTGGTGTCAATTTTATGTAATGCTCAATTCCTTTACACTTGAGGCTGGGAACCTCGTCAGCAGCCGGCAAAGAAAAATTTGGGGTGTACATTATTTGTGCAGATCACATTTCATCTGCATAGTGACTAGCGAGATCCCTCCAGACACGATTTTCCATTACGTTTAGTTTTTTTCAGCCGGTTAATTCACTCTAGACAGAGAGAAATTGCTTTGTGGAGCTACAACAATGAGGATTTTTGTAAGATGTGATACAAAAACGAAAATTTTGCAAGATGTGATACAAGGTTTTTTATTGAAGGAAATTTACTTAAATTACAACGATTTTAAGCTATTATACAGAGATCTGAAGCTATTTATGCAACGACCTAGTGCTATTTATCTCGATGTATAGCTATTAGTCACGATCTAAAGTCTATTTATGACAGTGTTTTGCACCTTAAGCAATGCTAAGGGTTGTAGGTTTAAACAATCGGAAGTTAATTATCTCATTTTAAAGATTTTTATCAGGATCTAGGGTTAATCATGAATATTTGTCGCAAATATAGCAAATGCCTCGTATAGCACTCATGCTCCTAAATTCGTTTGCTCATTCCTGCACCAACGTAAAGAGAATAAATGGAACACTTGAAGGCGAAAAGATTGACTACAGGAAAGTCAGCTGTCTAAGAGCTTAGAGATGTTGCACTTGCGCAAGGTAAATGCGCTGTCGTGTCTTCGAGAGGTGGGTATCTCGTTTACTATAGTGTAGCAGTGCGAGCTCGGGTTGCGAATGGCATATTAGATTATAACGATACAGGAACAAACGTGGCCCAGGTGACTGGCATGTGATGGATGGAAATTAGGATCACCAGGATTGCGTTAGTGTCGGGAAGCCTTCAGCGTTTTAGCTAATCAACAGCTCTATAGTCCGTGGTGCATTGTCTGCAGAACCGACCACGTCCGCAAGAATTTTGGTAGATCAACTTCGTTACCAATCCAAGATGACTGCGTCCTATCATGTGATGTATCGTGCTAAGGACACGATAAATAAAGAGCTGTTTTTAGAAAATTCAACGAAGATTACTCTTTGACCAAGTCTACTGTCGGAGTTTCAGCGTCTGAACTCAGGAAAACTTATGGAGCTCCAATGCGACGAGAAGGGGCACTTCCGCCGGACAATTGTTTTACTAAACCCGAAGTGGTTTTTATATGACCAGGGAATTTTTGGTGTAGATGCAGCTCATATTAAACATCGCAAATTCAACGGGGTTCAGATTGCATTGGCCAGTCGCGACGAAAATTTCAGTAGCAAAATTGCTGCAATTGCGCTCTTCCCTGTTGAAGATTACGACAATTACTCGTGGTTTTGTTGCCGTGTCATAAGACACGGTTTCCCACTGACTACGAGTCCCGTCTCCAGTGATCGAAATGGTGGCCTGGTGTCTGCCGCCGAAAAGCTCAACATTTTCAACATGTTCTGCATTCGTCACATGATAGGTACGAAAACAACCAAATTATCAGCAGTTTTGTTCCAACTTGTCATGTATTTCTGCATCGGTAATATGAGAAATGACGAAATGGTACGGCTACTGGTCACCCAACTGAAGTTCGAATGGGAAGCGAATGCTGCATCACGTCTACCTTATTTTGACATTGCGATGACTAAACTATACGCGATCAACCCAGCTGCTGCTATCTAATTAAATGCGGTACCACTTTGCAAGTGGACACTTCACGTACATTGCGAAGCAACTTTACATTACGGATGGCGAAGGCCCAACTTTGGTGAGAGTGATCAAGCAAAGAGTATCCGCCTGAAGCCACGGATTATGATGCCATACGAGTTCTTCAAGGCCTAAACGACGATTATAATGGATGGGTGTACAGCAGGTATTAATTGGGCATGCTAAGGAGGAAAGAGGGACGTACATTTACGCCTCGGGCCAAAATAAATTGCAGAAACAATTCATGGATGCTGCAAGGTATGGTGTGACGTTCAGTTCTGAAAACGTAGCATTCGTCGCTCGATTAAGCAATCAACTGGAGCAACACCGTGTTGACATCAAGAAATCTTCATGCTCATGTGAAACATGGAAGCAGCACAAAATTTCGTGTCGCCATTTGATCGCGACCTCAAGGGCGGTAGTTAAGCCAAAGATTGCATACGAGCTGATAAGTATTTGTTACAAAAGTTGCGGCGTATCAAGCGAGCGTCGGTAAGATTGAGGTTGCCGAGGACCACGTGCTAAAGCGTGAATTAAGTATCCTACCCGCAGTTTCTATTCGGCAAGCCGGAAGCCCGAAGAAAAGACGTAAAAGATCACAGGGTGAGTCTGGTGGGAAACAAGCAAGCCTAAGAAATGTAAGCGGTCTGTTACATCGGGACACAATGAGCCCATATGTCGCTTTTGTTGACGTTACACTACCGAGATGGATCATCGTAGCGCTATGATATGGTCTAACATGAATGTGGTTAAATTCATCCTCAAAGACATATTGTGACTGTGATTGGCTGCTGCAGTATCGACGTTTCGCTAATGTTACAATTTATGATACAGGTGACAGCACAGGTATGGAATCTCATTATCATTAAGGACTCAGCGAAGATCGTCACCAATTTTTTTTCGTACAGCACCGTCACGTAGGAACTACGTCTCGACTGTGTTGACTGACTGTTTGCAGTACTCTGATCGGTCGATCGTTGTGGTAGCCTAAAGCTGTCATCTGGTCGGCGCCTTAGGATTGCAATGGATCTAGCTGCTCGCCTGCTTACTGCTGCTTGTCCTCCATTATTAAACGTGACGAAATGGCCGCAACGTCCTTCGTGAAGCTCTCTTTGTCGATGTAGCCTTCCTTTTAAAGGTAACGCACACTGCTTAACTCCTCATTTTTCTGCCTGCCTGTCCTGTTGGCATGGTGGATGCAGACGGTACAGTGTGATTCGGTGTGATGAAGCGTTATTCGCCCGAAAATGGTCATATTTGCCGATCCCTAGTTCAATCAACAAAGACATCAGCAAATAATCGACAAATCAAAAGTGCCATCAGCCATCCGTTCGTACCCATCGCGTCAGACTGATAAAAACTCCACAATCGTGTCATTTATTAGATTTTTTACACACGTTTAATCGCCCGTCTCGATGTAATAATCTGTATAAAACCCATAACTTCCCTCCATCAGCAATCGAAAAGCACCCCATTATTCATGCAGACCGGCATCAAAATGAGACAATCTCCACCAGTAGTACGCACCGCTGAGCACCATCTCTGTAACGGGGCACCCTGAAGCTTGTACTGGTGACAGTACAAGCTACTTATTCTGATGACAGAATAAGGCGGTGCCTCGTAACTTCACGTACACTCGTACGTGCAGAGGAAGACGGTAAGAAGAAGCGAGTACTTGGTTAAAGTAAAAAGTAGAACTGAATTTATAATAGTTAATGTCTGCAATAAATCACTATTTATCCTCATCTAACTATGTCTGAATACAAACGTGTAAATTAATCATCGGCTCACCACTCATTGCGTGCGTCTGTCGTGGCGCGTCTTCGTTGGTTGATATAATGGCCTATATCAACCAATTAGGAACTACTTGTAAGTGCTACAGAATATTTGTCCTTATGACAATATTCTGAGAATATAACTCTTATAGTTATATTCTATTAACAATTTCTTATAAATTGTTATGTAACGATTCACCCCGTTACATCACCCCCCCTTAACCATCAGTCACTTTAGTGACTGATTGACTAAATGGATACTCGTCCCAAATCATTTGGGACAGGGTTTGCACTTGTTGGTCCGCGTCCACTTTCCAACATTTCATCGCATGGTTAACAAGCCCATGCGATGCGCGAGCAAGGCCGCCGAGAGCGCGTCTGCACGTCTCTGTGCGGACGCCGAAGCAGAAACAACAGCAACTGATGTCCCATCGGTTGCTGAAGCGACCCAGCCTGTGTCACTTGGTGACGCAGGCGCTGGTCATGAAGACACTCGTGTCTTCACAGAGTACGAGCTCGGTGTCTCGTACTCTCCCGATACGGATGACGGATCCGTATCGACGGCGATTGAATCTAAGCCGCCTGCCAAGCGTGGCATGGACGATGCTTTGCGTCGCAGCATCTTTGGTTCATCTGACGAATCAGATGAACCATCGCCGAAGCGAAGGCGCTCGAGGTCGCGAGACTCGGGCGCTAACAGTGGTGTCGGTTCTCCTATGGACACCACTTCGCAACGAGGTGCCAGTACTTCTGTCGGCACATCGCAAGAAGAGCAGGATTGCAATGTCTTGCGTCTCGCTCCTGAGAAGAAGGCATGGATGCCTCCAAAATTCGTCATGGATCACTTGTCGGCGACGACAGGTGATCGTTATCGAACACGATTGTTCGATTCGTCAAGGATCCATCATCTTGACCCCAGCGCGAAAAACTATCGCGCTGAACATGAATTCTTCATCGATGCTTTCTTTAGACATCGATGGTACAGTGGGAATCACAAACGTGATGGTCCCTCGCTGCTTCAAGCGTGGAACGCTTACATCCATAACCTTGAGGATGTGGGTAGTGACGTTTGAAACGACAAACTTATCAAAGCTCGTGATAAGTTTGAAAAGCAAACCCCGACAGGTGCACACTATAAGCTGCATCGTCTATCAAGGAAAAAAGATTACCCTGTCTTTCCTGGGGAGACCCGTGCCCATGTTGTGTGAACAACTCTGCACGAGCACCTAAGGAGGCTTACCTCCCTTATAGCCCGTGGTGGCGCGTACGTATCTCTACTGAGATGTACGAAGGGATTGACAACCTGAAATCCCTTTACGACCGTGCCGGTAAGACTTTCTCCGGCGGTCCTTCTGCGGCAAAGTATGTGCCGCGTTGTACTGCTCAACCAGACCCAGTACGTCGATCATCAGCTGGGAGCGGGGCTCCCAAGTATCCCAGGACGGGGGATAGCCGCGCCACCGGACGAGATAACTCGTCCGACGTCCGTTCACGTCGCGGCGGTTCAACAGCTGCTCGACTAGATAGCGCTGGCCACCGCGAGGTTCCTCTAATAGAGGGGGAGGAGGAGGAAAGATGCTCTCCAAACGATCATGTGGATCGGTGGTATCCCCGAGAGCCTCTTTGATCGCGTAACGCAAGGGTTACGCGGCGATCTCGAACATGAGCGGGACAGGCGTCTTCAACTGGCGGACACTGTCTTGAAGCATCGAGCTGAGTTTGCCTTTGCCCAGCTTGGGAACGAGAGATCTCTGACATCTCTTCGTGACGAGCTAAGGGTAGCTCGTGGGATTGTTGATCGGTCTCGGGATGAGATAGCTGCTCTTCAGACCCTTGTTGATGCCCACCATCGGGAGAACAAGGCTCTCTGCGAGATGCTTGAGCGCAAGGGCGTTCTTCGTCGGAAGAAGCAGCGTACTGATGGTACGGCTTAAGCCGACCAACGTTAAACGTGGGATGCATTCGCATATACGTGGTGACTCGATCGTGTATGCATTGCCTAGGCGGTGCAATACACGAAATGGTCCGATGTACTTGGGTAGTAGTTTACTGCTACCCAAGTTAGTCACTACATGCTTTGGTAGATTAACCGTAGACAGTAGGACTAAGTCACCTTTATTAAATAAAAGAGTGTTTGCCCTTCCATTCTTGTCAGCGTTTTGCTTTTGCTTATCCACCGCTTCGGCGATGGAGTCTTGCACAAAACGGACTACCGTTTCACGAGCCAGTATGAACTCATCTGATGACTCGTTAGCTTCAGTGCGCTGTGAGCGCATTGCAGCAACATCAGCCTTTTCTTCAGTGAGGGCTTCCGCACTCTCACTGGCATCATCTTCTTCGATATCGATGTTATCGATATCGGCATCAAACGCAATGACCTCATTGTCAGAGCGTGATGAGCGTGAACCAAATCGGTTTTTGCTCGCGCGAGTCCCTCCCCCCCTTAAACCAGGGTTACACTCGAGGAAGGTGGGTACACGCGGATGGCGTAAGCCATTCACGTAAAACGGTGTATGTGTCGTGGACGCATGAACCGAGTTGTTAATGGCAAACTCTACCATTGGCAAAAGCTCACTCCAACTCTTAAAGGAGTGTACGTATCTTCGAAGTATCTCTTCAAGGACACGATTGGCACGTTCCGTCTGACCATCTGACTCTGGATGATCATATGTCGACATCTTCAAGCGCGTTCCGAGTGATTTGAACACGGAACGCCAGAAATAATCAGCTGTGAAGCGTGGATCTCTGTCTGATACGAGTTCACGGAGCAACCCATGAAGACGGAAGATGGTGTCAATAAAGACACAAGCACAGCCACTTGCCGTGATTGACTCTGGTATAGCCACTAGGTGTACCATTTTGCTGAATCTGTCAACAAATACGAGAATACCCGTATTCCCGTGTGCGTCTTTGGGTAACCCGAAGACGAAATGCATTGAGATGGATTCCCAGCACTCAGCCAGAACCGGTAGAGGCTGTAAAGGTGCACGCAGTGAAGGACTTGACTTCACTCGTTGACAGACTTCACATGCGCGAACATACTTTCGCACAAACTGATACTGGCGGGCCTGTAAAAGTCTCGACTCACCGTGAGATATGTTTTCTCTCTCGGCCACGATGTCCTCCTATAGGAGCATCGTGATACCCGAACATGATCCGCAAACGCAGATCAGTATCATCTGGAATGACAACACGTGGTGTGTCACCAGAAACGGCTGTATAATACAGTAACCCGTTGCGAGTAGTGTATCGATCTGATGCAGATCGATACGCAAGCGACAATCGTTTCAACGATTCTCGAGATGGTTGGGAGAGATGTGTCAACAACTTCACTATCTCACCATCTTGGGCGTATGCCCGCCTCACATCATCATACAACGTTGTAGATGGGACTGAGGACGTCATAACCGCAACAGTGACTGTCTCACTGTTGGGTTTCACGACTGGTTCAGAGTCGGGCCGACGTGAGAGTGCATTAGCGACGACATTAAGTCGTCCTGGTTTGTATTCGACCGTAAAATTGTGTTCTGCAAAGAATGACAGCCACCGCGCCATTCGTTGTGAAAGGTGCTGGCTGTTCACTGCCGTGCGTAATGACGCATGTTCTGTGTAAGAAATGAAGGGTCTATCTCCTAATAGATAGACTCTGAACTTCGCGAGTGCATACTTCATGGCAAGGAGTTCCTTGTCATGCACTGGAAAGTCCCGCTCAGCTGGTTGTAGCTGACGCGACTGATAGCAGACGACGCGTTCAACGCCTTCAAGATCGTACTGCATTAATGCACAGCCGATTGCGAAATCGCTGGCATCACAGACCACATGAAATGGCCTGTCCTGATCGGCTATTGCTAGGACTGGGGATTGTATCAAGCTCTGCTTGATACCACCAAAGGAGCGCTGACATTCAGCGTTCCATAACCACCTCTCGTTCTTTTTCAACAAACGAGAGAGGTGCACAGTCATCTCGGCGTAATTGCGTGAATACTTATGCAAATACGCCGCTAGCCCAAGGAATTTTCGAAGATCTTTGACATCAACTGGCACTGGCCAGTCGGTGATCGCCTCGATCTTTTCGGGATCAGGACGTACACCGTTCTTACCAACGATGCACCCAAGAAGTGGTATTTCGCTTGCTGCAGATATACACTACTTGAGATTTGCATACAGTTGATTCTTTCGCATGATTGTAAGAACCTGTCGGACGTGGTATCTGTGAACCTCAACTTCCGACTTTCCATCCATAGCCCGACTATGGATGAATACGTCATCAAAATAACTCGGCGCGAATTCTCGCACCGGTCTCAACAGATGTGATACACATCTGTTGAACGTGGCAGGGGCATTACTGAGCCCTTGTGGCATTACTAGCCATTCCCAGAGCATGCCGCTAGGCGTGCTAACTGCGGTATAGGGTATATCCCGTTCTCGCATAAGGATTTGATAGAAGACATCCATCAAATCCATGGACGAAAAGATGGTACTCTTTGACATACCATTAATGATTACGTCCTTCCTTGGTATCGGCGTCTGAGCCGGTACCGTTTAAGCATTCAACTTGTTAAATGCATGCACAATCCGCCACCCTCCTGCTGCTTTTCGCACACAGAAGGTCGGAGAGCTATGTGGGGAAGTTGATTCCCTCACATGGCCCACAGCTAAACGATCGGCAAAGAACTTGTCGATCGCAAGTACTTGTTCACGAGGCAGTGGCCACTGCTTCATGACACAGTACTTCGAGCCTGTTTTAAGGTCGACCTCGTGTCGAATACCTTTATCCTTCGGTAATTCGCACGGAACAGTTTCAGGGAATACATCCTTGAATTCAACCAAATCTTCATAGAGAGGGTTTGTCTTGAGCGATTCCCACGATTGGGAGTCATATCGCTCAATTCGTGTCTTTTCATCTAGGACACTCTCGTCCATAGATGAACTACTGAGAACTCATTCGCTCTCAGTGAACACTGTTGCTGACCTTATGTCGGCTACACACTCGTCGTCAGCGACGAGTGTGCAGATCTGCTTGACTTTGCCACTACGCAGATCACGCAAGAACCTTATATGTTCGAGCGTTGGCAACTGAGTGATCTCCGAAGCTGACTTCGGAGGCGTAACCAGATCAAGTGTATAAGCGCCTACACTTGATCCGTTATTGACTATGACATTCAATGTCTCTGTCATTTCCTGGGGACTTAATCCCTCAGGCTTCGAAGGACTTATTCCTTCGTCTTCCCGGGGACTTATTCCCGCGGGTTTCGGGGAACTTATTTCCGCCGTATTTGTAATCTTGGGACTTATTCCCTTTACTTCCTCTAGCTGGGGTTGCGCAACCACAGCGAGATCCTCTACGAAAGACTCTCCAGTCGATCTAGGATTATCGTTTCGCTTAACCTGAGCGATCGATTGTTTCTCTTCTAGATGTTCCCCGCTAGGGATACATCTTTGTCCCAGTCCACCCGACTTATTCGAGTGGTGGACCTTCGGCGCAGCCTATGTTTCCTCAAAGCCGCCGGAATCTTGCTCCAAAGTGTAACTTTTTGTTACACTAAGGTTTTGTGCAGTCGTACTAACGACCGTACCACAAGTGAGGCCATCGCACTCACTCGTAGTACATCCACACGCTTGTGGACGCTCCAAAACGTTCATCAGATGGCCATCTGATGAACAAGCGGCAGGCATCGTTACTGTTCGATGTTGCCAGTTTACACCTGGTTCGCACTTTCTAAGCCACGGTATGCCAAGGATGACATCAAATTTGTCATCCAAATCCAATACGATAAAGTCATCGTCATATTGGGTATCTTCTAGCGTATAGTGGATCTTCACTATACGCTTCATGACGGTTACGGATGCGCCTGTCGCAAGCCGTACCGTCATCCTCGTAGGAGGTGTGTCACATTCACTGAACTTAAAGTGACCATCTTCTAGCGATTGGCGTATCACAAAATTGTTGGACGCCCCACAATCGACTAGAGCTCGAAGGGACAACCTATTCGTCACTTCGAGTTTCAAGGTAATGAGTGAGACCTCATTACCTAAAGCAGCAACGCACAACGTTTGTGTGTTGGGAGCAACCTTCATCAAGATGCCCACAAATTCTCTTGACGTTGCTGGACCAGTAGGGTGCTCCGCACCTACTGATCCTGTCCGTTTTTTGACGGTCCATCCCGTTGTTGCGTCTTTGCACCAACAGCGGACCCTCTATCCTGCCCCTTTCTCATGGGTGGACGGTCACTACGCCTAGTGTTGCGAGACACTGGACGAGTAGCACTACACTCGTAAGCGTAGTGTCCTGTCTTCTGACATCTGTTGCATTTCTGCAACTTCTTGTAGTCTGTAGAGCGAGCCTTCTCGCTCTCTACATAACAGAGTTTCATCGGATCTGGACCTCCGCCGTCAAATCGTCTCGGTTGACGATATGATGTCGAGCTGGAGCGAGCCTGTCTCAGACTGAAGTCTTCCTGCTCCGCAATGGAAATGGCTTGTTCTAGTGAATCTAGTTCAAGCCGGAACAGGTGAGTCTTGACGGGACCATCCGCAAGACCCTGCATGAACACCGAAACCAACGTGTGTTCATCCACCGGATTGGAACTTATGCAACTCGTAAGATGTCGTATGTGCTGCGCGTAAGCGTGCACATCACGCTTACCCTGTTTGAGCTTCAAGAGTTCGGTTCGAGCTCTGAACTCAGCTCTAGGCGGTTCAAACGTTTGTCTGAGCCGCGACTTGAAGACTTCCAACGACCCAAACGCAAATGGGTCGTGCAACTCGAGCCCCAAAGCCCAAGTCTTGGCACGTCCTGCCAGATTTGATTGGGCAGATGCAGCTTGCATATCCCCATCTTCGATGCGACGCGCCCTTATGGCGTCGTCCAATTCGACGAACCATCTCAGGAGGGAATTCTCTTCGACTCCCCTATACTTAGAGATGTCAATCTTTAAGGTCTCGGGTCGACACGAGTGCATCGACCCGCCAGCAGCAGCCTGCTGCTGTCTCAACAGTTCAAACTGTTGAACACCCTGTTCTCTCAACAACTCTGCTTGTTGAGAACCTTGTTGGTGAAGCAAGGCTACTTTCTCGCGTTCGGCGTCAAGTTCATTTTGAATGAACTTGGCGATAGTAGCATGTTGGGCATCTCTATTGAGAGCCTCTAGCATGACGCTAACAGCATGGATGCCCATGGTTGAACCCATTCGTTCAACCGCATCCCATTCGACATCGCTCAAATGGGAGTAGCCGTCACGCGTAGCGTGAAAGCTTTGGTCATCATCATCATCTAAAATATTCATGTTAGATGTGAACGTGGTCCTTGGACGGACTACAAAGTGCTACCAGGTGTAACGGGGCACCCTGAAGCTTGTACTGGTGACAGTACAAGCTACTTATTCTGATGACAGAATAAGGCGGTGCCTCGGAACTTCACGTACACTCGTACGTGCAGAGGAAGACGGTAAGAAGGAGCGAGTACTTGGTTAAAGTAAAAAGTAGAACTGTATTTATCATAGTTAATGTCTGCAATAAATCACTATTTATCTTCATCTAACTATGTCTAAATACAAATGTGTAAATCAATCATCGGCTCACCACTCATTGCGTGCGTCTGTCGTGGCGCGTCTTCGTTGGTTGATATAATGGCCTATATCAACCAATTAGGAACTACTTGTAAGTGCTACAGAATATTGTCCTTATGACAATATTATGTGAAGATATCTCTTATAGTTATATTCTATTAACAATTTCTTATAAATTGTTATGTAACGATTCCTTCGTTACAATCTCCCCGTCCAGGTCCTTCGTTTAGCCCCCACGACGGCAGCGCTATTTGATGCGCCCATGCTTGTTGTGGTCTGGTGATGTGGCATTTTTGTTGTGAAGGTGTCAAGCATGTTCTTATTAACTCGCAAACCTACTGAATTACGGTATCAACAGGTATGATATTCGATAGGCTTGCGTCGGGTAGTCCTGCTGACTACTGGAACAAACAAGGCTTAATCAATCGTGCAGTAAATAAGGCCTTAAGATAGCTATCATTTTTATCGTTGTAATTTAAATTAATTTTTTTAATAAAAAAACCTTGTATCACATCGTGCAAAATTTTTGTTTTTTTATCACGTCTTAAAAAGGTTTTAATAATAACTAATTATTATTAAAACCTTTTTAAGACGTGATACAAAAACAAAAATTTTGCAAGATGAGATACAAGGTGTTTTTAGTTATTATTAAAATGTTCTAGCTGGTGAGACAATTTTATTGTTAAAATAACCATACAAATTGTAAAAAATTGTAGTAAGTGTCCATAAATAAAATTTTGATACGAAAGGTTAGCTGTTAAAAAGTCGTGGATTTTTACCGAGATACTCTACATATTAGTTAATGCAGGTAATGTAATTTACTTAGGTGATTTTCTTTAAAATAAACAATAATAGGAATACATTTTCATCGATCTCTAGCTCAAGATTTCGAATGAAACAGTATACATCGGATAGACAAGACCACAAGGTTACTTAAACGTGGTTGTCTATTCTTGGTGTCCCAATAGTGATCCATTTACCCCAAATCATAGTATTGCTATGCTACGGGTCCAAATGTTCCCTTCTCTGTTCTGACCGGGAGGCGCGGGTTCAATCCCCGGCGTGTGCAGCGCACCCGCCAGGATACGAATCCATACCGCATCATCGACTGGTCTCAAAAAGAGGACGCAGCTGGTACATAGGATAAAGCAAGTGTGCAGAAGGTACGCCACCGAGTCGCAAATCCTGTAAGTTACTGATGGCAAGTATCTGGGCAGTTGAGGAACAACATGTGAAGCTTCCCCGTGTAGAAATTAACCTACCCAATCATGCCCTTTTAAAGGGTCACTCAGAAACAACACCTTAGGAGTGAAGAGTTTGAAGAACAACACAGCAAATTTAGTTATAATCAAACCGCACATCGATTGTTGGGGTAATTGCGTTATAAAATGACTGTTTTTAATTGCATTTTTCGTCTTCGACTCAAGCCTGTTGCGTGAATCCTAAAAATTTGTTGTACAGGACATCGAGCGCAGTAACAACAGCTTGATCATTCGCTTCGAAAATTTCCGTCAACTCATTCTTGACATGTTCAGGACCCCAACTCCTTGCGGCCCAATCTTGCATCATGTAGACTATCAACTTTTTACCCTCTTCTACATAAGAATTTGATTTTAATGCGCTCAGGGTAATGAAAATGAGACGTATGTCCCCGGGGCCCGAACGAAGTGACAAGTACATGGCAAGGTCACGGTCACCGTCCCCCATTCTCCCAAACTTTACAAAGGCTTCATCGTACAGATCAGGGGAGAGGTTACTATATGCAAAATTCCCTTCAGCAAGATAGTCCTCGTCAGGTACGAACCGTTTTTGAGTTGGCGATCTGACATTAGCAATGAAGCGGTCTAATTCAAGAAAAGTCATAATGCCATGCCAGTCAGACACCTTGTGCATAGGAGGGAGTGATTCGGGAGATGGGTCGGTCGAAGCAGCTTTCACGGCACCATCCGCTCTGGTTATATGGTTGTCGTTGTTGACAGGGTGAGGTTCAGCATCAGTGTTCCGGACATGCAGCGTGCCTGGTTCGACAGAAGGCTGGCCAAGCTTATCCACAAAGTTACCCTTGACAACATTTTCAGTTTGAACGTCCGGTTCAGGTCTCCGGACTTGGTGAGTGCCTGAGACGACAGGAGCCTCGCGAATTTCCACCATGACAGGGTGGCGAGACAGTCCGAAGAGCTGAGGAAATTTGGCCATGATCCCTTTAAACCAGTCAACCAATTTTTTGAAGAAACCGACCGAGACTTCAGCCCGTCCCTCTAGAACTTGATCGGAAGCAGGGGCACTTGATACGCTGTCCGCGGTCGTATATTTCTGAGCTTGATCGTCAGACGTTGGGACCACTGGTTCGGTAGGGATTGAACAGCAAGCACGGTTGAGCAGTAGCACTGCACTCACGAGGAGGACAAACACGCGGAAAGATGGCATGCCTTGGCAGTCAGAACGATTGATCAGATGAGGATGAAACGAGAAATGAGCAGATTTAGCCGTCTTTCGTGCTTTAATATTTTCCGATTGAAAGGACCGTAACATCATCGAGTATGCTTGTTCATCTCTTATAGAAATCAGCACAGAGGCGTCATAGCCACTGATTCTTTTCGACTTGGCTATACTATGGAATCAGTTTGGGGACCCTGTCGCCACTTATTTTTATCATTGGTTTACTATGCGATCATCGTGAAGGTTTCTGTGGCCAAGCCATTATCATGCATTAGCTATGATAAATCAGATAAGGGGCTTTACAGCCACCGATTTTTAAATTACAAAGTTATCACACGGAGTCGGTGTAAGTGCCGTACATTCACTTTTTTTTTAATAGAGCTTTACTAAAAACTGTTTTCGCATCTCTGTGGCAGCGATTTCGTTCGATTAGCAGTACTAAGAATCAGATTAAGAGTTTTGAAGCCACTGGTTTGAATTGCTCAGTATTATGATGGAGTCGGTGCGAGTGCCCTGTAGCCACATAGTTTTTGATTTATAAGTTTTACTGTGAGTTTAGAGAGGGATTAAAAGCCAACGTTTTTAGATTACTAAGCTATGCTATCGAGTCAGTGCGAGTACCCTTCAGTCACCCATTTTTAAGAAGCTTACTATGAAGTTACTTTGAGGCCTCTGTGGCCAGCGACGATCGTTTCATCGGTTACCAGAGGAATCACACTAAGGATTTCTAGCCAACTGATTTCAGATTACCCAGGTACACGAACGAGCTCGTTTGGGTGCCGTGCTACCCCTATAAATTAGATGAATTTTTCAATTAATTTATCTTGAAAGCTCTGTGGCCGCTGAATATAGTGCTCTTAAAACCACACGTAAAATAAACTCGGGGTGCCGTAAACACTCACTTTGAAAAAACTGAACGATAAAGTCGGTGTCAAGCTTTTTCGCCACCGACTTTTGATCACGTAGCCTCTACGATAGAACTAGTTTTAGGTATTAGTAGCCATGACGTGTATACTAACTTTGGTCCCACAGTCCTCCCTCTGCTGACATTTCAGTCTCGGTAGACACAATTTCCCATAGGTTATCACTGGCTCAATTCTGGTGGCGTGTTCCAATACCTCAGCAAAGTCAATAATTGAAAGATTAAACGTGAAAGCTCCATTAGAACAACCCACTCCACTTTCACCTTCAAATTCAAATTTGCCCGAAACCAGCAGAATTATAGCCATAAGACCACCAACACATGTCCGCACCTTCCTTTATAACAAAATCTGCTCCAACGTCTGAGACATGTAGACATTCTGGTCGTTTGCTGGGGTTGGTCTTTGTTGTTGTGAGGAGTCCTAAAAGATCACCATCTTAGGTAGTGCCTGTACGTTGTATTATATGTCCCAGGCAACCAACCCACCATGCTGCCTACAAACTACCCCGCAGCCTTCGGACTGGCACTTTGCTGTGCCAACATCACACGAAATACCGTCGAAGCTGGGCTTGAATATGTAACCCACCCCCACACTAGATGCAAATTGTCCCTCTATACACCGATATCTATCTCTATGAATACGTCGATGCGGAGTGAGGTGGTCTTGGTTTGACGAGACTGTTGTCCGGGAGTCCCGCGTCCAGCTTGAGGGACGCATCCATCGTGTCCATTGAGACAAGACTTTTGCAGCAGCCCTGACTCGCCAAGTCTCACGCTTCATGAGGAGCTGCTGTATGAATGGAAGGAGCTCGGAACTGACGCAAGGGCGTCGGTGCTAAAAAGACTTGCGAGTTCGATCTCGGCGATGGGACTACTGATACGTGAGACGAAAGACATTCAAGGCGTCAGTCAGTCAAGTAGCACCAACCAGCAGGAAGAGTACAAAGCTGCGACAATGGTCAGATGAGCTCTTTGTGAAAGTTGAACGCTTGAAGCTCAACAAATGAAGGTGGTGGTGGTTTTGGTGGTTTTGGTGGTGGTGGTGACTACCAGATGTTCTGGTTCTATTGTGCCGAAAAAAGAGCTGGAAGAGAGCTAAGCTGTACAACGTGCCGCTCGTAGTGGTCGCGATATCGAGAGATCACATCAGTCCAGCAAGCTGGTTCGAATCGACGCTGAAAGAGACTTAAGCGGTCGAAACGTGCAGCGTCTTCAAGCACTGTTCTACCAACTAGACGAACGTTCCTGCTTGTTTCCCGCAATGTGCGTGGTGAATGCTGACCGGCGGGCAATGGTCGTGGTGGTAACGAGACGGTGATGACTGATTGATTGATTGATTACTAGACTATCTTCGGTGCATGTGTTTACCGGCGGTTGTCCCGCAATCGATTCAAGTTGAAGCTTGTACAGTTTCGTGCTGTCGTAGCTGTCAAGGAGGCACAGTGGCGACCCCGGCTCTTCAGGTAGGGAAGGTCGTCCTTGACACCTTTGTGTTGTTGTCAGTTGTAGGATATTCGATGGTAGTCGCTACTGCGTATACAATCCTTTGGATGATGCTACCCTGCTGGCGAACCTACCTCATTCGTCCAAGGGGTTTTACCAGGTCAAGGTTTGGCCGAGCTGCTAGTGCGACAGTTTCGACTGCTTGGCACAATCGTTTATGGTCTCATCCTATAACAAGCAACTCAGTGTTGTAACGATACGAAGGTTTGTTCCGAGAAGCATTTTTCGATTACGCCTGACGGCCATAGGATGTTTTATTTAGCGTGTCCGTCCAGCCAGATAGATGCATTCGCGTTCGGTGGCTACTCAGTCCAGCAAAATATGTAACAGTGCGATATTTGACAGGCTAACTCTATCACGTTCAATTACAGTGGTCGATTGCTGTAACTGCCGCATCGGCTTTTAATAAGAGTGCTCAATCTCCACCACCCATTCTCAAGTATGCTAGATCGTAGTGTCGCACGTCTCGCCTGCGGATTGCGCTCTACATCGTCGGCCCTCGCACGTCCATCGGCACCCAAGCGCTTTGTTCCCACAACGACCCGCTTTCAGTCTCATATCTCGGGCTCCGCATCGCTATTGCTTCAAAAATGGAGATTTGTGGCCGCTACTGCAGTAAGCACGAGTGCTTCGTATGCTTTTTGCTCGACTGCTGCTTCAGTTACGGATACGGTCAATACGAATAGGGCAGTGCCAAAGGTGGTGCTCTATCAGTACGAACCGTGTCCCTATTGCTGCAAGGTGAAGGCTGTACTGGACTACCTCAAGCTCCCGTACGACGTGGTGGAAGTCAATCCACTGACCAAGAAGGAGACCAAAGCTGTGACCGAGTATGCCAAGGTGCCAGTTGTCACTATTGGCAATGAGCTGGTCGTGGACTCTTCGGCAATTATCGCGCGACTGTGGGGGACCTAGTCGTGCCAGCTAAAAGCTCCCAGCTTGAGCATAAAGAGCCGCAGGAGGAGGAAGCCCAGTGGTGCCAATGGGTCGACCAGAAGCTCATTGTCTTGACCCCTCCCAATATCTATCGCACGCTGCCGGAGGCGCTGCAGGCTTTCGACTATTGCTTGGCCGCTGGAAACTTCACGTCCATGGAGCGTCACTTGTCCAAGTACGTCGGGGCAATGGTGATGTACCTCATTGCCAAGCGGTCGAAGAAGAAATACGGTATTGACGATGAGCGACTGGCGCTGTATGCAGCTCTGAATAGCTGGGTTGATGCGGTTGGTGACAAGCGCCCGTTTCTTGGAGGGCATGAACCGAACAAAGCAGACCTCTCGGTCTTTGGTGTCCTTCGTGCGATGCACGGCCTGGACACGTACAACGACGTGATGCGTGAGACGAAGATCTGGCCGTGGTTTCGATGCATGACGGATAGGGTTGGCTCCAGCTCACGCACTGCAAGCAAGCAACTAGAGAACACGGTCAAGGAGTAAAGAACTTGATAGTAGATAGAGCCAACGAGCAGTTAGGATGCTATTCATATAGACAACTCACGCACAAGTCTTGCTGCAAAGGTTGCTCCGTCTATTCAGCAAAGACACCAGTCTTTGTCTTTGTCCTTTGAAGGCGGTTGTAGGCGATGCCCGTACCAGAGATATTGTCGCCCAGTCCAGCAGTGTAGTCAGGCTTTTTACAAGCTAGCATTGGCACCAGGTGGCATTGAAAGTCAGCTTCTTGCCACGTAATGACCGGCGACAATGGATCCAGGTCGACCTTGAGATCCTGGCGGTCGCTCAATAGCTGCTCACGAGCCAGCAGCATCTCGACCCGTTCCGGGTCCACTTCCATTTCAGCGCTAGTTTGCATCAACTGGGCCTCGTTCTCGTCATCAGAAGCACTGCCACTTCTTGGGACCGGCGGCTTGCCACACGCCACCTTGGAACTAATCAGTGCGCTCTGCACCAATGCTGAAGTCGGGTCTTCCCAGATACCCTTCTTCCTCTGGCATACAACATGAAACTGGAGCGTATGGAAGTGAATCCGCGACAAATGCGCTAACGCCACCGTCACCTCGTGCTTTCCATCGTCCTCCTTCTCCCGTCTGCTTGTTTCAACCATCTCTCTCGCATCCTTTGCAAACTGAATAATGTCATGCAACTGTGCACTAATCTCAGCAATCGTCGGTCGAGACGTTGTCGCACTGCTTTCTTTCCCCGTCAGTAATAAGTGGTGCAGAATAAACAGCTCCTGCTCGTTCAGACCGATAGAATCCACCCATGGCAGCACCAAGCGCACCATGTCGGAAAACAGCCCAAAGTCCGACACCGCAGCAAACTCGTAATGCGTGGGTGTGTCAACTGCATACAAATTCTGCAACACCCCGGCCAGTGCTTCGAGACGCAGGACCCGTGCACGTACATCTTGCTCAACTTCCGCGAGCTGCAAGCCACCAAAGACGACCAAGTCCGGCTCGAACGTCTCGAGCGCTTGCTCGAACTCTTCAAGCACCGACAGCCGCGCATTGTGCACGTCATGGTTTAGATTATAGTGATTCGCCCGTGGTGACACATGGCCTCGAAAGGCGTCACCACGTCCGTACTCGAACACCAAGTGCACGTCCTCTTTCTCCTTTCCTTCAATGTCCCTTACAAGCTGAATCATCGGATCGTCAAAGTACTGCTTCATATGGACGCCCATAGCCGCGCCCGAGAGCACAGTGCATCCTTCAGTCGACGCTCGAGCAGCCAGGGTCGCGGCATTGCCGCCCACTTTTCGCTGGACGTCTGGCAGGGCATTAGCTAGTGCTACAATCTCGTGGAACGCAGCGGACGAGTTCATCCTCTGCTCAGCAGCAGCTCCTGAGGAAAAGTAGTAGACGAAACTCTCTTGGAGCTCCTGGAGCGAGTCGATGCGCTCGTGATGGCGCACCGATAAGACCAGAGACGTGGTCGTGTGCTGCGTCTGGTGCCTGACGTCCGTACTCGGAAGCGGCTGGCGGCGATGCTTCAACGCGAAAGTACTGATTTCCTTCTTTTTCCATCTCAACAAACTACACGAGCGGATCATTCGGCCTTTATCAAGTCCGTTGGCTCTCCCTGTTTGATCCACGCCATTGTCACTTGTGCTTGTTCAATCTTCCGCTGACAAGATGAAGCTCGTCGTCCCTCATCTATCATCGATCCTCCTCACGTCAACATTCTGCATAGTCGCCTCGAGCACGATCACCATGTCCACGTCTCACGATCACTCCGACTCGACGGTCGACTGTTTGACAGAAGGGTGCAACAAAGCGAGAGAGTACTGCGTCGGCACCATTCACGCGTGTCAAGCTGCTGCAAGCGAGACCGAGTGGTACAATGCCACGGCAGTGAAATTCCAAGCAGGGTGCGACGCCGGGTTCAAGTGCATCGACGACTTGTGTCGAGTCGATGCAGATCCGATCGACCACCGAGAGTGCCATATCATCTGTTCTGCCGGCAAGTTCTGTGAAGACGGGACGACGACATGTCGCGGACCACGCTACAAGGGCGAGTGTTTCGATCTCGGGACTGGCTCTTTTCAAAGGGGCTGCGACGAGGGATTCTTTTGCTCGTTCAATGAGTGTCTTGATGTTAGTCTCGATGATTAGGAAAAACGTAACGGTTGATAAGCAAACGTTCGAGGGTTCGATCAGGTCAAGCCCATACTTCCGAACGAACGAAAAAGACCTGAAACTTCAATGCGAAACCCCTTTTGTCTCCATTCACTCACTCTCTTGTGCAAGCAGGCGAACTGCCTCGGGTATACACAGGTTCCGTCTCATCGATCGGCTTGACTCCACACTGGATTCCAAAGTAGCTGGCCATGGCATGTGTACGCCAGGATCAACATGATGTTTGGAGCTACTGACTGCAATTGTAAATGCCCACAGAGTGCCTCTCTCGAGATATACCTATTGGAACAGAAAAACCAGCGGCCTCGTTTGTGCCGTGATATCCCGCAGCCAGAACATGAGACCGTGGCTTCCTTGACTAAGCATCGGTACATGTACAGGGTAAGCGCTACCGAACCACGAGTTGGTCGTCCCATCATGACCATGAGTGTACGTCTCCGGCTCCTCAACGTGGCTGGTAACGAGAACAGGCTCGCCAATCATACCACAGCTCTCTGCTTGTTCAATCAGAACGCGTCACGAAAAGCTTGGATATACAGAGCGAGCAAGATGTTGATGCCGAGATGAAATAGACTGTCACGTTCGTGTTAATACATTGGATACGCATTGTTGTCGTGAACAAAACGGCTTGATCGAGGTCACCGTTGCACGCGGAAAGACGACGTTTCATTCATAATTGTATCCGTCCTCTTAATCGTCCCACGTTATCAGTACGCCTGACGATATTCAGACGTGAGCACGTCCTACAGTGTGTCCTCATTGCCATTGTTCAGGATGTATGCGCAGCAACAATCGGATCGAAACGAGTCACTGTTTCAACAAACATAGTTTAAGAATCCGCACGTCATTCTCACATACTTCTTAGAAGAACAAATCATTGCCCGAAGCGAAGGGGGAAAGAAATCGACCAACCTTTTATAATCCCAGAAACACACATGCTAGGTGGTCCATATTACCGTTCAGCAAAAGACTAGCACAAGGAACGTCGTCGCCCTCTGCTGAGTCATCACAACATCGTTTCTAGGGAACAAACGTGCCACTTGCTGCGGTGAGCCGGATGGAACTACACACTGCCTCAGCGCCTTGTCACCACAGCTTACTCGGAAAAAGCTGAAAATTCATTTCTTGAAACCACCCGCGAAGTTCGTTGTTGTCCAGTGCTCTTTCCGGGACAGCTTCTGTGACAAAGCGTAGCACGCGCCGCACATAGTGGTGCCTTCGACAGCACACTAAAAGATAATGTTTCAGTCTCGCTATTCATCCCACTTCTTCTCTCGCCATCGTCGTCATGTCTGGTTCACAATTGTACAAACACGTTGCGTGCACGCCACCCGAACAAAACGAATTGCTGCAAAGGCTGCAGATCTAATACTATTGAGAAGGGAAAAACGCCAGGCAGAGCTCCTTGTAATTACTTGAAAGTGTCACAGCGTGCAACAGGATTGTAAAATGTGGCTGTGCGCCTCGACTCAACCAGTCTCCAACTGCAGAAATGTGTCATATCACTGGCCGATCGACTATTCGTGCCTCGTAATAAAGCTATGTGGGAAACTGCTTTGTCAACTTCCACTTCGCAGTTAGCAGCTCTCTTCTTTAAGAGAGGTCGAAGCCTGCATTTGACCGAATAGCATACACCAGCTTCTTGCGCATCGACTTCTTGTTGGAGTAAGCTGGTAGCTTGAGTAGATTCATGCACGTTGCACTCGATGGCAGTCGCTCGTCGTCTTCTACGCGCACTTGGTGGATACCGATCTGAGGCACCAATTTTGAAAAGCCAAGCAGAGGTTGACGGGAACAACTCGTGATAAACTTGAGTAGCGCTGCACGGTCTTCATGCGCGAAATCCTCCTTCACGATTTCCCAAAACCATTGGATAACTTTTTGGGACGGGTGATAGCCACCTCCGTATTGAGTATGCCGCTCCCAGTCATCAACGTCGATGTTCGTGGCAGTGCCGCCAATGAGCATCTGCACCTCGGCTGGAGCAAACATTTGAATCCATGACTCCGGAATCAGGTCACGAAAACCCATTAGGAACGCAGCACATTCAATGGATGTCAACACATTCAGCTTGTAGTTCGCCATCAAGTGGATGTATCGAATCCGATTCTCGTTCGTAACAGGGACGTTCAAGCCGTCCGGCAAGAGATTTCGTGTCACTACTTTATCCAACTGCACCTCGCTCACGCTGAATGTCAGCGCTAGATCCTCCACATTGCCGTCGTAGTGCTTCAGGCGCATAAGTGATGTGTATAGCTCGGAGTCCAATGAATGCAAGTCGTCAATGTAGTTGAACTTGCCCAAAAGTTTGTTGATAAAAAATGCAGCAAACTGTGGCTCTACGAGAATGTTTTCAAATACAGCTTTCGCCAAGAGTCGCCCCAGGAATCGGTAGCGTTCTAACGCTTCTTTGTGCGTGTCCACAATGAACTTCGCACTTGAGTTAGGATAAAGGAGATGATCATCCGTTTCTAGAAAAAAGCCGAACTCTGGTGAGAAAGCATTCTTCGTCAAATTGTCCATGAATTCCTTGAACACACCACCACCATCAATACCTGCCTCCTCGAGCCCTTGCTCGTTGATAAATGTGACCTTGATGCGCGACTTGAGGGCTGCAGGAGACATGACGTCGCACACTTTTCGAAAGAAATCGTAACCGTCGCGCAAAATCTCGTGGCGTTGAATCCGAACCTGCAAAGCCCGTGAAAATTCGTCGCGCGTGTTGCCTGCTTGCGCCTTCGCATCGTCCAGCAGCTTTTGAAAAAGCTGGACACGTTCATTGAACGACAAAACTTGCGGAATCGTGACAAGGATCAGCGCTGCACGCGCGTACGGAGAAGACGCTTTCCCATTCATCAGCATGTAGATCGCGTCCGCACCGTGAGGACCGTCCTCATTCATCAGTTCAAGGTCCACAATTTCCCTGATCGTAGGCATTAAAGGCCACAACCAAGCGCCATCAGGCATGAAACGACGCCGACAATCCCGATCATAGAGCTGGTTGAACAGCTTAATGGATGTTACAACCACAGCGAATCTCACGAGGTCTCTTTCGCCCATGGTGCCAGTCGGTAGTGCAGTGTTGCCATCAACTATCCAACACGCATCGTAAACAAATTGTTTCAAAAATGTCACCAAGGCTTTGACTTCACACAAACGAAGTGGCCATTGCCCATCGTAAAATGCTTCATCGTCAAGTCCCAAAAGCATGTGAGAATAGACGACGTTGAAAATAAGGAGCACCTGCAATGGCACCGTCGTTGTATCAAGTGAGCATTCTCCGAAATGCGGCGTCGGGTGCTGGGAAGTGCTGCTCTTGATCGCTGACCTTATCCTCTGCCACATGCTATCGACTAGATTTGTATTGCTTGAGAGAACGGTGGACCTCCACGGACTCTGCTCGACCGTCATCGCACTCAGCAACGCAAGCAAAGCCGGAGGAGGATTCGTAAAGTTAGCCGCTACAGTAAGGACGTGAGACCGCCCTGTTGACAAAATCAAAGTAGCAAGAACGTCGCAAAGCCGGTAAACAGGTCTCTTGCCGGACAACACAAGCTCCGGTGTCCCGTTGTTCACACGCAGCAGCACATCGATACATAGCGGAGCAAAATTTGAATGGCAAAGCTTTTGCCACTGCGCACGGACACTAGACTCAGCGACGCCGAGTCCTTCCACGCCGCGCTGCACTTCTTCTTCCAATGCAAAGTCTTGAACGGACAATAAAACACTTGGCACGTTTCCATCATCATCCATGTCATAATCTTCGTTGTTTATAACCGAATCTTGCTCGGAATGCTTTACGTCAAACGCCCATTGCACGAGTGATAAAGTCATCAACTCAGACAGAACGAGCGGAATAACTTCCACAATAGCACCATCAAACGAGCAATGAAACGCGAGTTCTAACACGTTTCCAACACAAATGGCTCGCTCTGACCACGAAAGTGCTGCCACCGTCGAGGCAATGCAAAAATGACGTACTACACGTGCCCAAAAATGTCCCACCATTCGAACCGTTGCATCACGAGAATGGCTCTCGATTGACAATGCTGTCTTTGTAATGTAACTCGTAAGTGGACACGTCACTGCTGACGGTGTCAATAACAACTTCTTTGCAAATTGCGACAGCAGACCAGCATCTCGTCCTTGTGCTTCCTCTTCTCGGGCCGCCACTTGCAGCGTTCGGGCAGCAATACGTGCAATGACTTGCACCAACTTGTCGACCTCCACACGTGATTGTTTTTCTTTTGCCTGGACCGTGATACACGCAGTCACTGCATCGAAAACACTGTACTGCCTTGAGATTCCAAGGTGATAGCACACGTCTGACAGAACTTTTTGATCTTCAAGTGTCTTGTACGTTGACGCATTCGTCAGCGTGTCTAGCAGCATCAGATAGGGGTTCACTGCCACATGAGCAATTGTATTTGGCGTCTCGACTTCGTCGTGCACGAGTGTATACAAAGCGATTTCGCTCATTTGCGACACTTGGTAGACCCATGTAGTATCTTTTTTTGCCGTCAACCAATTTGTAGCCATGTCGGACGATCCCTTGAGACAGCTGACAAGCAATAGAAACACCACGTAATCCTGGAGTTTCCGTCCCGTTTGGTCCGTTTCTAATTGCCAAGGCTGTGTTAATTTTGGTTCCGTAGCCATAGTCATCCTTTTTTTACTTGAGCGCGCAAACAAAAACCGTCTCAGAATCAGCTGGAGCTGTTGGATAGACAGCGCTTGATGCTGAATATCAGTTGTCAGCATTACCTGTTGAAGTTGATACTCTAGATCGTGCAATACAGCAGCTCGAGCGATTTGGGAAGCCCGGACACGACGGAATTGGGCCTGGATCTTGGTAATCGCAGCTGTGCGTATCTTTATTGCCTGTCGTTCTTCCCTCGCCAATCGATTCGTGCGCAGGAGTTCGTCCTTTGACCCGTCATTTCGACCTTTAAAACTTGATATCGACGTCGTCAGAGGCTTCTTACGACCACTGAGATTCACTTGACGCGGAGCTTTGAAGCTGCCGTCGAACATTCGATTGTTTTGTAATCAAAGAGGTGGCAGCTGCGAAAAACGACGTTGCTCTCGTCAGGCGGCAAAGAGAGCGGGAGAAGCGAGGCGAGCGAGGGACAAACAAGCGAGATTCGCGGCTGCTTTGACGGAATAATGGCGACAGGTTAGAGCGTCTACAGCAGTCAGTATAACTTATTTCCTGTCCAATCAAAAAATTTATTCAGTTATACAGTAGAGTCTCCGTAATTTGTTATCTCTAAGTTAATATTTTCCTCACATAAAAAGATGTCGAGTCCCATGTTGGGCCCTGGCCAAAAAGTAAATGGATCCCTGAATTTTTATTATTAAAGCCAGAGAAATTTCCGCTATACAATAAATGAATACTGCCGGGGACCGCTAAAAAACTGCCCAGAGTTGTTGCTTGAGGGATTTATGCTGAAGGTTCTCCACCTAATCCTGCATCTTCTTAATCGACTCTAAGAACTCCTCTCCAGTCTCCTGCCGCATCCAGAAAGTCTTGAGCTTTACAAGCATCGATGCAGCTAAAGCATAGGTTTGTTGACGCAGTAAGAGGTTAAAAAAAATCTGTCTATTGCCTTTGACTTGCTCGATATCTCCTGCCTTACTAGCGATTGTTCTCCTCCAGTCATTTATTTCGTGCACGTTCTGCACCTATATACCAGCAAAACGGCTGGCGCCAATCGCCAGAATGTCATCTTTCCAACACTTCTCCCCGATTGCGCCTTTGCTCTCTCAACTCTCTCCTTCATCCTGCAACGTCATCCATCTTCTACCCGATCTACATAAGCTCGCGCGACGTCTTAGGCTTACTCCAATTCAGTGCCTTCTTGAGCAGGTCCGCGAGCATCTTCTCGGACCTGACGTAGCGCGCTTCAAAAATTCCACGTCGAGCGAAATCGCATAAGAACTTGTGGCGGATGTCCACGTGCTTTGCCTTAGCGACGACATTTCATCAGCGATCTGGCTTGTAGCCGCATGGTTGTCGACTTGCATTTGCATGGGCAGCGCTGGCGCAAGCCTGATCTCCATTAGCCTCTCTCGCACCTCTTGCATTTCCCGCGCAATCTCGCTGGTGACCAGAAAATCCGCATCCATCGTCGATAGCAACCCTGCTTGCGCGCGCCCCAGCTTACCGGCATACCATTCAGTAGAAGCATGCCGCCCGTCACCGACTTTTTGTCTGCCCTGTCGCCCGCAAAGTCGGCGTCACTGAACGCGTCAAGTCGCGGCGCTGCGATGTCACCTCGGGAAAGCTTCATTGTAATATTTAGCGTTGCAGTCCCCTTGAGATAGCACGCGATGCGCTTCGCCAAACTCCAGTCAAGCGCGCGCGGAACGTGCGTCTGCCGTGTCACCTTATGGACGGCCAAGGCAATGTCCGGGCGCATATAGCGCGCGAACTAAACGAGCGACCCATCCAGCGACTAAATTTCGCGCACCGTGGTCCTGGAGGCGCATTCGCTGATCATAGGTTCTCCGCGATGCTTGGCTGCTCGTCGTTGCTATCATCTCCGATCGGTCTCAGCGTCGCATTTGCGTCTATTATCCCGTTGTTCCGCAGGAGGTAGCCAATTGTCTCCTTCTGGTCCAGGCGATGTCCTTCGTCGTCGCTTAACTTTACGCACATCCCAAGGAGCTTTCTGACTTGGCCCGGGTCCATAATTGATAGCGATGCAAGGCTGACGAAGAACTGGTCGAACGCAGCGGCAGTCGTCCCGGTTGCGAGGAGGTCATTTACTATACTCCGAACACTAGATTTGTCCCTTCGCGTTATGATTAGAGGCACATGTCGCTCTCGAAGCGCCGAAAACCCACGGCCGATAGCTTGGTGTGGAGCAGCTGGGTCCATATCCGCCTGGCTTGCTTGAGACCGTACAGGCTCTTCCGGAGCTCAGGCACGAGCTCTTTCAAGCTTGCAGTGTTTTCGTAGCGTCGCACCGGACACACTAATGCCGAGCGGCAGCTGTCCGTATATCCGCAAGCGCGCCTCTTTGTCCGCCTTGACGTATGCGTTGGGAATGTCGCCATGATTGGCAGGCACCCCCCACGTATCAGCAAGCGCGAGGAAAAAATTTTACGGTCGAGAAGTCCATCACTGCTGCGAACGTGAGTCCGTAGTCGACTCCGAGCACTTGATAATTTCCACAGGCCCTGAGTTGCGCCTTGAGCCGCTCCAGAATAGCATTGACAGTTACCCTCGTTTTGTGCACCCATTTAGTATGCAGAGCGTTACAACCTGGCGCTCGTCGCATGATTTTCCATACGTCGTTATCCTGCAGAGACGCAAACATTTTTTATCTCTTTTACCCAGCCGTTTCGATTGTGCTTCGCATGGCCTCGACTTAGTTCTGCAAGTCACGTTTAAACGCCGCACTCACGACGTCTTCGCCAGCTTCTGGCTCCTCCTGAATGAATGCTGCTTGCGCGCGCTTTGTCGCGCCGCGCGTGCCGTGTGCGTGTCGGGCTCATGGATTCTTCGCCTTGGTAATTACGTATCTCGACACCGCTAGCGCATCTAACTCTGGCGCTGTCTCCTCCGCAGCGTCGGCTCAGTCTTCGCTTCCCATTGCACCGTGCAGCTGCACGTTCTGAGTCTCAGTCAGCATGTCGATTCCTTTGACGTGCTGGGGGACGCTTACCTTGCCTGCTTTGCTCATCCAGACCATGTACCCTCTAGCCTCGTCGCTAATCCCGATGATAGTCCCGATCTGCGATCGCTGCGCCACCAATTTCTTGCGAGGGTCGGGGTAGACGTAGCATTGCTACCCGTAGAAGAATATCTGCAGCAATTCAGGCGCGGTTCTCGTCAGCATTTTGAGCGGCGACACACAACTCGTTTTGAGCGCGTCGGGATCGTGCTAAGCACGTACACCGCATGCAACACAGCGTCGACTTAGAAGCTGAGCGGCAGCGCGCACGCGAACATCATGCTTCGCGCGAGGTTTAGATTTGAGCAGTGCATACGCACCGCCTTCCCTCTCGACGCTTAATTCCTTGCCTCCAACATCTGCCGCGCTATTCTGGTGCGCTTGCAGAAAAGTTCCACGTCGGCGCACTCGCCGCCGCCGTCGGTGCGTGCACGTGGTCCTACAGTCAATTCTCTTCTGAAAGTGAGTCAGGAACGCCTCGAATTTCTTCGTTGCGGCGTACTTCGTCCACGCGAGGATAATCCTGCAGTAGTTGCTCTTGTGATCGACTTCGTTGATTAAACATCGATTCTTGAATGGGTCTTGAGGTCTCATCGGTTTTTCAGGTCTAAATAGATCACGCCGCCGATGCGTTCTATCGGCGCGTTCTCGCCGCTGCATCGCTGCAACTGCGCGTTGCGCGTCTACTTTACCTCCACGCAAGACACGCACGCCATGCGCCTGTGGCTCGTGAGACATATGCCGGATGCCGGGTCGCGCGCCAGCCGCTCGATGGTGTCAAATGCCAATTCCACGGACCGCTGGTTTTTGACGCAGGATGCCCTCTTAGACGTCGGTTGCAACGTCCCCGGCTGCGCCTGACTCAACTGCCGCCATAATGGAGCCGCTAGCTCTCACGTGTCGCTTAGTTGTCATGGTCTGCACGTACAACACGATTTATTCCATTGCCACTTCAAAAGCGACAGCGCCGTCACTGTGCCGGGCGATCGAGCGCTTCTCTTCATCACGCACGAGCGCGAACCTTTACGCTTTAGTTTTCCGTAGAATGCGATATGCTTTGGCAGGCTCGGCGCCAGGTAGATGTTGATTAGCGTCACGGTTGCCGCTGCGCCGTTCGCGATGATGTTCAGTCGCACTCTGCCGCATTTCTTAAGCTGGAGCGACACGCCGACCGCAGGCAATCTCGTCGTTGCACGGTCTCGACTCGACCAGCTGCTTCGTGAAAATATTGAAGTAGCGGCTAGTACCACTGTCGAGGATCCAGCCTCTTCGAATGGTATTGGCGGCGTCGGCGTCGCCAATCGCGAACACAAACTCGCTCGTCTTCTTACCGCGGCTTCGCCTCCTCGAGCGCGCAAGCTTTTGCTTCGTGTAGATTGCGATTCGATGGCCCCTCTATCTTGGTCATACTGCTTTGTCGGCGCGGGCTGCGATCTGCTGCCTCCTGCGCCTTTGTTGGGCATCTCAGTCAGCGCGAGCAGCATCTCGCGCCTCGAACTGCTTTCACCCTGCTCCTCGTCCACCGCAGCGTCCTTAGCGCGGCAGTTTTGCTGCACGTGCCCGACCTTTTCGCAACTAAAGCAGGTTTGGTCCTACGATCGCGCGTCAATGTGCGTTGCGACGACTGCGCGAACTGCGCTAGCTCCTTCGTGTGCCACAGGTAGTCGGATCGTGTGGGGTTGCACTTGGCCCTAATCAAGTTTATGAGCTCGGGCGACGCGTGATGGACGATGTTGTCCAGGACGAGCGAGTCCGCTCAACCGCGCGCGTCGCTTACGCCGACCATGTCGAGGAAAGGCTCCTACCAAATTGGCTTTGCCTCTTTATTTATCATGAAGAGCTTCATCACTTGGATAGCCATAAATTGTTTTTTAAACGTCGTTAGCATCTGACACATGCCTTAGTCGAGCATCGGTTGTTGCAACCATCACGTGCCCACTTGCTTGTGGTAGTAAAATTTCGCTGTCCCCGACGTAAATTGACCTAGCAGGTCGACCTTCATGTCTTTTGACCAGAGGAAACCTTATGAAGACTCGGCGAACTTGATCGCTCGCAAGAACGTACGTCCCCAGTCGAAAAAACCACTACCCAGCCCTAGGCAGAGCTCGGTCCCGTCGAATTTTCGGATCGGCAACTGTTGCTGGCTCGCAGTTGGTGACGAGATGTAGTTCATCCTTCCTGCTTGCTGCTGGGTCCTGATGATGGTGCTGCTTGCAATGGTACTAGTAGCTCGGGTGGCGCTTATCCGCACGGTGGTGCCAGGGACACAAACATCGACACGCCATCGTCCGGCGCTGGTGCTCGCGCCGGGAAAGCTGCTGGCTTCTGCTCCGGCGACCACAACACGTCGATGGTCATTGGTCGATCGCGCATTTTGCGCCAAGGGCGGAAGTGAAAATGCAATTTTTAACAGCGCCGAAATCATTTCGTCTTCGTCGCGGACGCGCTGCGACGACTCAAGCTTCGCTAGGCGCTCCGTCAAGCCGACGAGGATGGTGAAGATATTATCGTCAGTAGCCTCGCTCCTTTCGCGAGCGGGCGAGACTTCGACAACTGCGGGCGCTTGAACCATCGGTGGGACCCGCGCTGGCGATCCGCGTCGAAGCGCGGGTCGCGCGACGCCACCTGACGTCTTCGTAGTTGCGTCTGTGGC